GAGTGTGCAGGGGATGGGGGAATGTGGGGTTTGTGGGAAGGGTGTGCCACAAGCCTGCCACTTCCCACACACCCCACATTCCCCTCACCCCCACAACCTCACTTACCTGGGACAGTGCCTCAGCCTTGCCCCGCTCCTGTTTGAGTGCTGGGGCAGCAGGAGCACCACAGAGATGCTCTGGCTGGATGCAAGAGTGTGTCTCTGGAGTACCCAGCTTCTTGTTGCCTCAGAACATGCTTCAGTACAGTGCCCTGCATCACTTCTTTTCCATTTTTTCTTTTTTGAATTTCTAGGTATCAAATTTAGAGCCTGTGCTGCAAATATGCAGTGCAGGGAACATTTGTCTGCTCCCAGTGTGCCTTTTGTACCATCTCAAACTGGTTTGAGATGCCGCAACAGGCATATGCATGATCATCTGGACATACCTGTAGGAATCAGATAAACTTTCATGACAGACAGTATGGGATTTTTTTGCTTTCCTTTTTTTATTTTATTTAGGGATCCTTGAGAAGGGAGATACTGAGGATGACAACTGAGAGCTCTATTCTTTGCTACCTGCCTTGTTTCAACACATTTTCCTACTGACGCAATAGTCTTTCCAGCCCTGAGACACACTTAGTTATTGTGGTGCCTATAAATCTGGACAAAATTTTTCTTTTCTATTTTCTCTGAAGTTCTGTAGTATTTTGTCTTCCTAATTTCTTCTCAGGACATACTGGGGATGCCCTTTCTTCCTTCAATTTTTTTTTACTTTTTTACTTCTTTTTTCTTTTAACAGGAAAACTTCATATTAAGGGGAAACCACAGCAGCAATTGTATATCTTCGTACTGATCTGCAAAATTTTGGAATCTTTGAAAGATTTAACTACAAAAGAGTTGAATTGCAATCCCGAGAAGTGCTACCATTAAGATCAGGCCAACTCAGCATGAAGCAATTTCAAGGATTGCGGGTAAAGTAATCAGTATCTAACAGATACTGAGGCTATTAAGTTACTCTAGCTATTTAAAAAAAATCATAAACAGTGGTCTCCAGTCCATTTGAGCATTCTTTTCTGCTTTGAAGCAGTAAGATGCAGGAATGCAGAAGCAGGAAATATTTGAAACTACAGTAAAAATGTTGAGGAAGTATAAAAACCCTTGGTTACATAGCAGCTTTGTTTGATTTTGTAGTTTAAGGTATGATTTTGATAATATATTCTAAAACTATGGCCTTGTGAACAGCACATTATCATCTCACTGACTTCCAGCACATGTGCGCTCATCTTCAGGAGTCAAAGTTGAAAAAAGGAAAGATCTTTCTATCATTCTAGGCTCTACCCACTAGAAATTCCCTACACCTCTGAAATGATAAAATGAGCTGCAGTTCTCAACAGCTGGTATATATGTTCAAAACTGAATCTTCATTCTGTAGGGCTCTTAAAAAGCTGGAGTCAGTGGTATTCATATATACTCATGGGCTTCCCTGAATGACTTAGAATGATTCAGATCCAGTGCTGGTCTTGGTTCCTCCTGGACCTGTCTTAAAAGTAACTGCTGCTGGGTTCATCTACATGTGCCATTAAGGTGCCAAGATAAACTCCAGTGCAGTTTATGCTGGAGTTTATCATGGCGCCTTAATGGTATGTGTAGATGCTCCAACTATGGTGGTCCAGGGCGCATATGCCTGGGACCACAGCAGTCTGAGCTGGGGTGGAGCATCTCCAGGATGGCAGGGGACCCTACAGGTCAGCCCCGGACTCTGGGAGGTGGTGTTGGGGCTAGATGGGGCACAAGACTGCCCCAGCATGAGCAGCCCTTTGAATAGGTGGCAAGCAAGGGTCTGGCCCCCTGTTCCCTAGGCTGACTGGGTGCAATGTGTGCCCGGGTAAGTATGTACACATGTGATTGACATGTATTTTCACTGCAGTAAGATAGTACTATCTTACGGTGGTGAAAATTAGTTTGCAGCGGTCTAAAATAATCATGTATGTAGACTATGATGATTTACACCACAACATATTAGTCTACTGCACAATTAAGCACATGTGTAGATGCACCTGCTATGTCTCAGAAATAACCACTCATGGAACTAAAGTAATTTAATGCTTACAGACAGTTGAGGAGGTTATAGTAATCTGGTCCTCATTTGTTATTTAATTTCTGTGGATCAGCAGTAAAGTGGTCAATCATGTCAATATAAGTTATTATGGTTACTGGAATAAACACCCATTCAGATGAATGCAGCAGCTCAAATTTCCAAACAAATGTCTTGTGCTTTGTTATATTTAGTTCATATTTTCAAATAATTACAAAACTTTCTTAGAACTAGATACCAAAAGTAAAAGAAACAATTAGAAACTTTGAAAATGTAAACCAAATGTAACCAAAGCCAAGGTGGCTGTTTAAATCCTTAGAGAACTTGAAATGGCAGTTCTGAACCATTGGATGCCCCAGCTCATCTTAAAAACAAGGTATTTCATTCTAACTTCAAAACTGTTACAATGGTGTAATTAAACTCTCTGTTACACACTTGGAACTGAATTTTCCTTCAGGGGGTTAGTACAGATGGAACAGATTGGAACTTAGTTCGCAATTTTGTTGGTGATGCCAAAAAACTAATTCCCTTGCTTCCAACTGTGTTGGCTTTTCAATGATAACCAGAGTAAAATCACCAAAATAAATCTGTCATTAAAATAAGTATGAATTTCTGTTTATCCAATAAGAATATATATGTGTTTTAAGAAGTTACCATTTTTATATATCTAATATCAGGGTACTATCTTAGAGTGGTAAACTGATTTTGGATTAAGAGCGAAGAATGTTTTGCTACAGCTGATATTATTAAATATCAGGGAAGGAGCCGGGGACACGCTGCCACAACAAGCACTGGGCCTCTCATGGCTCTCTCACTGTCTGCCCCTGGCATGCCAACATCTTACAAAATTGAGGTTGGGGTGCTTTTGGCATTCTACCCAAAAACCTCGCCAACCCCTGATATAAACAACTGAAGGAAACAGCCATAAGTCACCAAATCTGTGAGCCTGAGAAGGACACAAAGAGAGGCCCAAAGAAACATTTTTGCCCGCATTTTCAATTTGTACTGTCTTTTCTTTCCTAAACTGAGATACAGTAGAAGAGAAATTCACACAAGGTGCTGTCACTTATCTGCTTCCAATCCATGGTCAGCTTATAAATGAAATGAAATTGACCAAACAGACAGCAGAAATCATGTTTCAGAATAAAGATGCACCTAACTCCAGTCTCAACATCCCTTTCGGTATCAACATTAAAAGTTACCCTCCATAAGATAAATGAACTTATATAAAAAGAACACCTTCTTATACTATGCGAGTCAGAAGGCATCTTAGTCTTAGACCCTGAATATTCAGGATGGTATCAGCATCTTAGATAAGTAATTAGTCTCTTGAAAGTAAAGCTAATGAATTCCCCCTAGAATTTTGTGGCAAAATAAGGAAATCGAACATATAAATAAATGTATTGAGTGCCTTTTTTACCAAGAAAAGCCACCTATCAGATGAACATTTCTCTCAGTATCAGTGAACAGTTAATACAACAAAATATTGTCCAATATTTTCTCTCCTTACCAGCTGCAATTTCCCCATTTATAACACTGAAAAAATCCACACATTAACAAAATCATGCAGAGCTTTCTTTTACCTTTGCCTGCACCTACAGCAGGAGGGAGAATACCAGCTTTAATGGAGGAAAATAAAAATAGGACACTATATAATTAGATACAACATCAAAGGGAGAATATATAAACATATCATTTAATTATAAATCAGAAAAGCATGCAACTAAATGAAATGTATTAGGTGTAGGGAATTAAAGTTAAAATGCTGAACACTGACAGATGCCTATAAAACACAGTTAATATGCGTATTGATTAAACTTAATTATCATGCTTGTCAACATTCACAGTTTAAATATTTTTTTCATATAGTATGTATATTCCTATTTCAGCTATAGAGTTTCATAACAGTATACTGTAAGTTCATTGAGTATGAAGAAAGGTTGAATATTGATTGTTAATATTAAGATGTGCAAAATTATAGAAGAGGCCACTTCACAGAATTTCCACAAGGATTTTAACCCTCAATAAAAGAATCCAGCACTGTAATATTAGGCTGAAAAGCCTAAAACAATGGAAGTTTGTAAAGAGATGCTGTTACATGTACTTTCCTGACCTTGGTTCTACCTGTAGTACTAGGTTTATAGTCAACTGTGGGTTATCATTATGCTTGTGGCAAAAAATAGATTATATAAACATTATTGTGAGATTTTTGTTGTAGAACTTATCACTGGATTTGCTTTTCTATCAGTCATTCTGCAGCAAACAGCATTTGATAGCTTTCTCCTTGTAAAACAGACAGTGACATGAACAAAATATTGTAGTCTGTGACCAGCAGTAGCCATGGAAACAGAATAGAATAAGTGACTAAAGGAAGGACACTTAAGAGTAAAGCTGCATGAAACTGTGTAGTCCAGAAAAGCCGGAAGCTTAGGTCTTGTAAATTATGATACAGAAAAGGGATTTTTATGTCAGTTTTGTAGCTTCACTTGCAGTAGGAACATTTTGCACATCTGTTAAAAACCTGTTTTAAATAGTTGACATCACCATATACTCAAGTTAGGAAATCATTCAACAATTTTTAATACAGATTGTTTCCTTGAGAGAAGGAAAAATATTAACATTTTGAATGAAAGTCTGGGATTCTATAAAACTTGAATAGACTTTCTTTATACATACCCATCTTACCTTCATCCATAATTGTTACTGCTTCCTCAGTTATTTGACTTCCAGATCCAACCGATGTTTGTGCATAAAAGTAAAACTTGTATCGAGTGCTGTAATTTAAATTTCTTAATATCAAGCTGGTCTCGTTGGCAGGAATTCTGATCTCTACCAAAGGGCCTAATTCATGTGTGCTGTTAACTGTCATTGTAAGAAAAGCATAAATCATTAGTTTGTTTTATCTTGAATATCTAATTAAGAATAATGTCTTTGTTAAGCTGTGTTAAAATGGTTTATGAGGATACTGAGTATCTTTTCAGATTTCCCGTTCAGGCTCTGATTATGAAAATTACATTTTCATAAGTAATACAGGAACAAAGCTATTTTGTTACATGAAGATGCAAATATACATCTTGGGGATATTTTCTGAAGAGCTTAAGTTTGCCCTAAAACACTTCTATGAAGCTGCTAAAAATTAATCACTAACTTGCAAATGGCATTTGCAGTCACAACTCCTTATGCTTACTGAGTGAAAGTGAGGGAATGTTTGCCACCTCCTGAATCAGTCTTTCCTTTGAACCAAATACTTTAGCTGATCCCTAGGAGCTTAATTTTTCAGACAATGTATGCAACAGAGCTCTAGGCTATTTGTATGCCACAGTCAGGAACATTTTGGCAAGGTTATACTCTGTCTGTCGATGCCACTTGGGCAAAGTCCTCTGCATTTTTTATTCCTCGATTGTTTTGTGACAACATGGCATTCTGTTGCACAGTTGCTACTGTTGATCACAAAGCAAATAAATATTTCTCTAGCAGTAAATTAAAAGGAAGGAACATGTTCTGTGTAAATGTTAATAAACTTTAAAAAGAATTTTGGAGTCCACCTATATAATAAATCATAGAATCATAGAAAATTAGGGTTAGAAGGGACCTCAGGATCTCATTTAGTCCAATGCCTTGCTCAAAGCAGGACCATACTCAACTAGATCGTCCCAGCAAAAGCTTTGTCTAGCCAGGTTTTGAAAATCTTTAAGCATGGAGCTCCTGCAACTTCTCTGGGTAACCCGTTCTAATGTTTTACTACCCTTCTATTGAGAAAGTGTTTCCTAATATATAATCTAAACTTCTCTCGCTGCAACTTGAAACCCCTGGTCCTCGTTCTGTCTTCTGCCATCACTGTGAACAGTCTAGCTCCATCGTCTTTGGAACCACCCTTCAGGTAGTTGTAGGCTGCTATTAAATCCCCCCCTCAGTCTTCTCTTCTCTAGACGAAATAAGCCCAGTTCCCTCAGCTTCATGTGCCCC